CGTACCCTCATCCATCAGGAAACGTGTAACCAACACCTTCAACACAATGAAGAAGAAAGTAGTCAAGCTGTACAATGGTAACGAAGCGGAAGAAGACCAATGATACGACGCAAGGGAGAACTTTAGCGACGATGACGAACAGTGGTACGATGTCAATCCGGAAGAAAAGCTAGTACCCATCCTAACCAAGCATGGTATTAAGAAAAAGGTAAAAAGTATGTCATCAACCCCAAAGGTGCATACGACCTAGTCCACTTCCTGGATATCACAAAGGACGAGGTCGAGGCGCTCATAAATTCCGAAACGGAACCGAGAAACGTAAGCATGTCCCTAGCATGCGAAATTTATTTATTTAACTTCGCCATTGTCATGCATTCATGGCAGGGTAACCACAACAGTATGGTACCAATTTCTGTGGGCCTTTTAATTTTAAATAGATAATAAAACACAAATAAAACACAACCAAAACTTCGATTTACCTGTTCAAAGTCATCACATTAATTGAAACTTGAAGCCAAGCAAACAAATTCCTCGAAGTTTTCGTTGTATTGTATTTCACAAACATACTTAATTAGCTGCTTGCGAATTTTCTAAAACATATAACAATTCATAGAATATAGGCCTAAAATAGCTATTGAAACATAATAAACAAGGCTAGGAAGATCTGACAACTTCGAAAAATAGATCAAAACAGTAAAGAACCTGTACGTGCACAAATTGACACAAATCTATCCAAATTTGGACAGAACATAAAATTAAGACTTACAACCTTACTAATCATGTTTATATTTCAATAACTATGAGACACTAATACAGTAATAGCAGCAAGAGAGTGAAGCAGCAAGACTACGAGCAGTGTTACACTTTAAGCAGATAGACTTTCATGTCCGAGGATTTTGAGGTTCATAATTTAGGTTTAAGGCAGTTTTGAAGTAGTCTAACAGCAGAGATTTAAATCGTGGTAAAGTGAGAGACTGGTGTCTCAGTTCTGCAGGAAGAATGTTCCAAAGTCTTGCTGTTCTATTCACGAACGACCTTTGGAATGTTACTGTTCTGTATTTTCTAATCCTGAACGTAATGATGTCAGAATTGCTCGTAGCTCGCGCGCGTTGTTCTTATATTTACATGCCTCCGTTCAGGGATTATCTCCTTACTGACGCACACCAACCCGTTAAACATCTTCAAGAAAAACGTCAAGTCTAAATATTCATGCAAGAAACTAATCGGTAGTAAATCGGTAGCTTGTAGTCGATCCTCGTAGGTTAGTTCGCAGCGGAATGGAAGGTTTAGTATGAATTTTGTTGCACGACGTTGAACAGACATCTTCTTGTTCTCTGGCTTCGTATCTCCCGGGAAGATCTCCTGACAAATCCCAGAAGTTTGTTCGCTTTTGAAGTCTGTTCGACAACTTGTCTCTTCCAGCACAACTCATTCGACACCCATACACCGAGATCTTTCTCTGGATTAGCAGCGGCAAGTACTGATCCATTCAGGGCGTAGGGATACTCAACTGGTGTTTTCTTATCTTTGCAATCCCTCTGCCCTGTGCCTCTGCTTATATTATGATTGGGCTATTTCGGTTGCTCATATATCGAGAAAGGGCCCGAACATTGCGCAATAATTGGCCAATAAGAAGCTCCTGTTGGCCGGTATGACGTCAAACTCACGCGTGTAGGTGCAATTTGACCTTGCGAATACATTTCTGGCCTTTCAGGCTCATACGATACAAACGTCGCGTTGTTTTGACGGTTTTCAGACGTATTTCCGGTTGGGATTAACTCACTTCCAGCTCACAGTCGGACAAGAAATGGAAATATATTGATAAAAGATACAGATTTGAAGATACAGGCTTGCAAATAACACTCTAAATAGTGTTTTTGATGGGGATTCGAACAAGACTATTACAAAGACGATATGTGCGAAGGAGCCGAAGTTATTTTCAGCGAAAAGTATGGCTAGTCTATATTTTGTTCAGACAATTTGATACAATATTATCGTGTTTGACTTTCAAAGGCCCATAAATCGTTACAATGTTAATAATGACTATAACTATCGTTTGGAACTAGTAGATTTTTTATTTCTGAATCGATTGGTGGTATTTCTGTCTTCATAGCATGTACTGAAGAACTGAACCGAAGGTATAAAATTTATAGCCGTCGATCGCTCAGGATCGACGCGACATGGGCTGTGGTTAAAGCAATAAAATAAGTTTTTATGTATCATATAACAGATTAAGTGGCATGTTATTGTGGGATCTTACCCTGCTGGCAGTGGTTTCTGAGCTGAACTGAGATCGCTGATAAATTTAATAAATATTATATAAATAGACATCCTCTTGTTTTATTGTTGCATTAATTTTAATCTGGAAAAATACCCACAAAGTCGGTCAAGTGTATGAATAAATATTCATTTATTTACTAAAGTACATTTTTTACAGTTATTTATGTACTTACTACTTAGTCTTATTTGCATGAGTGTACATGACAGATTGGTTTAATTAGATATACCCAGTTATCATTCATAACCTATGGTTTGTTTAAAAAATGCTGGAAAAAAACTAAAAAATTTAGCCAATTGAAATAAATGCACTAATAACTTGCTAAACATAGCTTGGTAGTTGCTATTTATTATATAAAAAACATCTGTCAACATACACTCATGCTTTTTCCGACCACTCGAGTCTCCACTCACCAGGGGCAGGTTGTTCAAAACTGGGTTAGTTTAACCCATGGTTAACCTAAATTCGAAGCAAACTTCCTGACAGCTTTTCTATAAATTTGGAAATATTTCTTCAGAAGTCTTGTCTGGATCGATAGGACTATACTTCTCTGAAGTTTTGAAATACACAGATCTATGTGCAGAAGTACACAAACTAAAACAGCAGATTAAATTTTAACCCAGGGTTAGCGCTAACCCACCTTTGAACAACCGGCCCCAGGTGTCTTTATGAACATTTTTGGATAAAATCCTATTTTTAATTAAAAAAGTCAACCCTACACTTTATACACTGAACATGGACATCCACAACCGATCTCCTGCAGCAATTAGTGGGTGCAAATACTTGCATAGTTCAGAAGCAATATAACCAACATGTGTCCATACAGTTCCATAGTCTAGATCAATAGGCAATTCCAGCTTTTAATTTATGCATGCAGGGGGTGACGGGAAGTAAGGTATCATATTGCTGATTATGCTGAAAAATTTAATAAACTACCTAAACAACCAAAATATTTCAATATTTACAATAGCTATCTCTCCATGTTTGCATGGCCACCATTTCTATTTTTCAGCATTATCAGCAATATGATACCTTACTTCCCATCACCCCCTGCACACATAACCTAAAATCTGGAAATGACCATTGCACTTGGGTTCCTTGGATTCAATGGTGCTGGCCGTATTCTTACATTGAATTTACTGTTTTATCTTGTTCATGAAGAGCGAGGTATTATGCCTTAATTTTCCAAATGTCAGTAGTTTTTCTCATGAGCAGCACCGATGCACTTGAATGGCACAGAGTGGGCAATTTCTTCCTCACCATCACTTTCGTCTCCATCACTTAACTTGTCATCACTTTCTGCCCTATCACCTTGATCACCTCTTTCATTATCATATTCATCTTGAACAGGTTCAAGACCAGCCAACCACTCAAGTAAATCTCTTTCTACAAAATCATAACAAGGAAATTATTATTTGATACATTGTCATCTCTAAAATTAGCAAAAATACACAAACAGCAATATTTAGATGAAAATTTAAAAAATATATTAAATTACAGTTTGCACATTTAAACAACCACCCACAACTAGATACAAACAGGTATCACGCTCAGCAAAAATTTATAAAACCATACAAATAACTGAATAACAATATACCTTCAGACTCATCTGAGAACCAATGTTCATCATCTGAATGTTCATCATCAATTCTATTCGCTATCAATATATGGTCCTCATCGAAATCCAAAATCAAAAGCAAATGCTGGGTGTTTTCGTTAGAAAACTCATCAGGAGTAGGGTCAAACTAAAGGGTTAAATTATTAGAAATATTACGCCATAATGTGTACAGTGTATTTATAAAATTACAGTACAATATTGGAAAGCAGCAAAGCGGAAATTTGACCAAATAACAAGTCAACTGTATTAAATGCATTGTAATATACTAACCTTAAATACTGCGCTTGTTTTCACGTTGATGATACACAGTTATTTAACGCCATCCAACTTAGAAAGAAGGGTCTCGCTATTGGGAATATAAACACAATTCCTTCGCTTTGACAGACGGATTATTTATAAAGCTAAAATGACAGCACGTCCCATGCAATTTAATATAAGGTAAACTTGGTATAGTAAAACACAAGTCATAATGAGGATCGCAACAATGCAGCAATAACATGCTATTTTCACGAAGTTTTGCAGCCTGACAATCTTGTATTTCGAATGCTTCCATATTTGTTTACTCAGAGAGATGTTCACTCCACGACAGTCAGAGAGTCATTGAAGCCACGCCTGGAATTAGGCACTCAAACCCATGATGCTTTGCGGCCTGCTTGTCGAACCTCCTTTGGTTTGGCGTATAAATTTTATGCTTGAACTGTTACGAGGGCTTGTCTTGAAAAAACGCCGCGTGTAATTATTGCATTGAAAAAACGTCGCGTGTAATTCTGAAGAAAAAAACGGCGAGTGTAATTTTGAAGGAAAAAAAAACGACGAGTGTAATGGTGAAAAAAACGGCGAGTGTTTAAGTCATGGCCTTTCTCGGCCATCGTATGTTCGCTTGATCGCCGCGCGTGCTTTAAATTTACGCGAATCATGTCACCTAGGTGACAAGATCAAATCGCCAAGTGATATAATTCAAATAACGTGTTTACGTCAAATACGATGATGTAAGGCGCGATTCGATGATAACGTTCATGCGCACGTGGCACAAACTTAGCTTTCTGATTGGACACTTTGAATTATGAGGTATAATATATGTTTATATAACTGATTTATTTTTTACTACCTACATTATAATTAAAATAGTCAGCTATATGAAAAAGTAGTATTTAATTTCACAATGTATATAATTACCTAAAATAACAGTTTTTGGAACCCATGCAGAATGCTTTAAGAAAGCAACCGAGAATGTCCAATTCTTTAATGTTTAAATGACATATCAAAATGATTTACTGATTTACTAGATGCTCATTTTAGCGAAACTACGTAAGAGACATTAGATTGCAGAATTATGTGGTTCATACCGCAGTAACTTCCCTACAGTTGTATATCTCCACCAATTGGTGATGGTTTTCTTATCTTGAAGATCGTCGATGTCTGACCTGCGATGTATTCCATCATCCTTAAACTCAAACAACGGTGTGTTGTTCATCTCTTTTCTATCCACAAATGGTACGAGATCAGTGACTACGCATGAATCCAGTTTCATATCGGGGTCTTTGTAAGCATGGTGAACTTGGTTGACTGATTTCTGCACAGCTTCCACAACAAGATTGTAATTTTCCTTAAAATAACGACCGCAAAGATTTATTATGAGATAATGGTAAGATTTTATCAAATAAGGTCATCAGAACAAGAAATTAAAAATTTGAGACCGATTAACGCGGTAAAAAAGCCGTTAAACAAATAATTTTAATTCCTTGTCGCAGATGCACATATTTGAACCAGTGAACTCTATATACATATCTGGAGTAAGAACTTCAGTCATTCGGTCAATGAGAAAAGTGAAGCCAAGTGAAGCCAAGATGGCGGCCATTGACGTCCAATATTTCTGAAGGTCGTAAACAGTTTTTATATCATTTTCCCAAGCTAATTCCAGTTCTTTCTAATGGACCGTATCACTAATCAAGTTTTCAGTTCATAAAATCACAATACTATTCTTTAAATCGAAATCAAAATACGAAATTTCAACACACTCCTTGCCAAGATGGCAGAAATTGAAGGAGCTGTTGGAAGTCAGTCCCAGTCCCTTTCTAATGTTTTTGTATGCGCGGTTAACAAGAAACTGGATTCACTTTGAGCAACCAAGTTCTTACACCAGATATACAGTATATATGGAGCTCACTGATTTGAACTGAGCAATATTTTATTCATTAAAATAACCAAAAACTGGATTAACTTTTTTTCGATTGTTTTGCCAAAATAAGAACTTGGTCGAGTAATCTTAGCTTTGAGCGTTTAACATTCACAGACTTGCGCTTTAGAAAAATTTTTAATCTGCGAAATAACAAAGGAAATTTTTGGAAAGAAGTTATCAAAATTAGAAAAACTGCAAAGTTTGGTTGCGAAATGTTGTAAAATACGGAAAATATAGCCCTGCGAAGTTGGCAAATTTGTATACATTTCTATTACGTACGGAAATTGGTAACTAATTTAGTTACCAATTCACGCACGTAATACAAAAGTGTACAAATTTGCCAATTTGAAGAGCTATATTTTCCGTATTTTACAACATTTCGCAACCAAACTTTGTAATATTACTAATTCCAAGACGCTCTTTCTAGCTGTGGTGTTAAATTTCGTTGTTCTTACTTAGATTAAAATTTAGTCTAAATCGCAAGTCGTCCATTGCTCGACCCAATATTTTTTCATGTATACTGCGATTTTCTCTAGAGTTTGGACTCCAAAAGTTTTATTGTAACATTTTGATGTTCGAACGTGCATGTTACGACCACGAAAGTTTAACGTTTCCACGTGTGACGTCGCACGTTTATAGATTGAGGATTTGCAACGTTTTGACCAAACATATCGCAAGGCTTTAATGACCACGCCTATTAAATGATAATAACAATATGAATTTTGAAAAGTTACAGATATTTAGGCTTTTATATTGGCTATGATATCGATGAATCGGACACGATATTGTAATATAACTGAATAAAACTGAATTTGTAACTACCGCAAACACATCTGCAGTATTAACAAAGAAGCTTATATGTATTTATCTTCTACCTAATTGCGAATAATCTCTACTTTAATCTGGTATACACTACTTGCATCCATGTTTGTGTTTGTGATACTGCTTAATTGCGACTAATTTTAGCGCTGACTTTATTACCTTATAGACAACGCCTTGCGATGTGATTGGTCAAAACGTTGGAAATCTTCAGTGTAAACATGCGACATAACACATGGAAACGTTAAGGTCTCGCGGTCGTAACATGCACGTTTGAACAATCATAAAAATGTTATAATAAAACTTTTTGAGTCCAAACTTCAGCGAAAATCGCAGTATTTCTCTTGTTGTATATTATTAAATCAATTGCAAATCGTATTATATTACTTCGGATTTCCACAGATTTATCAGTTCTTAAGTAGAACATGGCTAGACATTTGAGACACCTTGCTGCAACGATATGTGCACAACGCACAAAATCGTGAAGTCAAAGATGGCGGGATGATAGAAAAAGGTATAGGAATTACAAAACTGTTGTGCAGAGAAAGCAATGAGATACGTCCACTGAGCTGTATTGTTACTGGAGGAAGCGCTCCAGTCAATCAGGTGAAGCCCAAAACATGGCGGATTTTCACGTTGCCTGACGTCAATTCACAACTTGCGCTAACGCAAAGCATCATGGTAGTTTAGTTATCACGGCAGAATTTGCATGATGGCGGCTGTTCACTTTGCATATGCGTGCGTGGTCAATAGATGAAATTTACACGAGTAATATTTTCGTTTAGTTCTCAATAAAAGCTTTCCGACATTCTGTGAGGTTTGTTTTAGTCTGTAGTCTAACATGGGATCTCTAAGAGTCATTGATTTTGAGATATTTAACATGACGATCGGCCCGGGCGAAGGCGAACATGGCTTCGATCGGACATGAACGAACACAAATTTAGACTTTTCACACATTTTAAAGGTAAGTACATCGCTAAAATTTGTGTAAAATAAGTAAGACACACTTGTTCATCACTTACAATAGGCAGTTCTGCGATCGAGTCCTAGTTAATAGTTCCAGAGGCAAAAGTGTTTTCACATCAAGCCGGCTTAAAACAATACATGCTTGATCAAGTGTTCCATTACAAACCAAAACATTGAGGACGTTTGGCGCGAAAACTATCCATTCAAAGTATCGGCTTTTTCAGTATCAAAGATTTAAACTGTTAAACAGTACTTTTAAGTACTATTGGCTGCTGTTCACTGTTCGGTGAAGAATTAAAAAAGAAACTATTTGTTCGTGTGTTTCTGTTTGCTGTTTATATTCCTTTTACTTCACGTTTTGGTGCATTTTTTTGCAAAGTAATGGAGCAAACAGATAATATATTTACTGGTCAATGCAGAGAATGGACGAGGAACCTCAGAAGTATTCCTCCTTTCACACATGAGCTATTAAAACAGTATTTAATTACTGATACTTCGGGAAAACAGGGAAAACCACCAAATGCACACAAGCATAAGAAATATGGCTACCAGCTTTTTAAAGAAAAAATGGTTACCAAATTACAAGTTAAGCCAGACATTTTAAAAGGAACTGAACGTTTCTTTCTTGTTAAATGCAATGTACATGCTTCAATGAAAAAGGTGCAATATACTGTATATGTCCACTTTCACCAGGATACAGGAAAAGTGTCAACTGCAAGTTGCTCTTGTGTAGCAGGACAGGGTGGTTTATGCAAGCATGTAGCTGCATTACTTTACCAAATTCTGGACTTTATTCAGCTTGAACTAACTGAAGTCCCAGATGACTTAACATGTACACAGCTACTGCAACAGTGGCATGTACCAGCAAGTGAGGATCTTAAAACTGCTGTACTTTTTGATAATATCAAATTTAGCAAGGCAACTTCAACAAGGAAATGTTATAATACTAATAATACAAACAACCCAGCTCCCTCTTTTGCAAGAAATGTGACTGATACTGACATTAAAAAACTTAAGGATGGATTAAAAACTGTAGGAACATGCAACTATTTTGAAAACCTACTAGAATCAAACAATTGTCGACCTTATGACTACAATGAATTTCTGGCAGAATTACCTTCAAAAAAGAAATTCACCGAAGCCCAGCAGAGTGCGGGTCAATTGTTTAATGTAGAAATAAGAGATTCAATACTGAATGGAATAACCCATCCAAATTTTCCCGAAGTGTGTAAGCATATACCATGCCCACAGCATGTACCATTTGTTGAAGAAAAGCTGCTCAAAACAAAGGAACAAATGATCAATATTGAGTGCAACACAAGAGGGCAGTCCGACAACAATCTGTGGTTTGAAGAAAGGCACCTTCGTTTAACTGCCTCAAATTTTGGTTTGGTATTGAAACGTAGGGAAAGTATTTTTCCAAAGTCAATACTTACCAAACAGTTTACTTCTGTCAATAGCAAAACAAAAACACCAAAACCATGTCTATGGGGACAAAGCAATGAACAAAATGCAATTACAAAATACTTAGAAAAATGTAACCATGATGGACAGTGTATCAAAGCATGTGTTCAGTGTGGGTTGGTAGTTAATGTAGAAGCTCCATGGCTAGGTGGGAGTCCAGATTGTTTCCTACATGACCCTAGTGAGGAGAAACCATACGGTATTGGCGAGGTCAAATGCCCATTTTCTAAAAAGGACATGACAATTGAAGATGCATGTAGTGACTCTTCATTTTTTATGCTGCCTGCCAATGACGAAAACCCCAGACCAACATTGAAAAGAAACCACAACTATTACTACCAGCTGCAAGGGCTAATGGCTACATGTAATGTAGAATGGGCAGATTTCATAGTTTACACCATGGAAGAAGTTTTTAGCGAAAGAATATACTTTGAAAATGAATTATGGAACAAAAACATGTTACCTAAGCTAACATCATTTTACTTTTCATTCATTTATCCTGAACTATTAAAAGTATAATAAACTATCAAATTACAACTATGTTTACATGTGTTCTAAGTGTTATTCTGAATCAGGCTTTTCGTTTATTAATGGTGGGTGGAAAAGAGTTAGATAGGAACAAATAACCCAAACTTTGTTCAGTTCTGATGCCATACTCAATGGGAAAACATTTTTTAAAATTCGAAAACATTTTATGCGTCGAATTGCCCTTTCAACATGAACTCGAACTGCTGCAATTCTCCTAGTCTCATTTTCATCACTAACCGACAGCTGAGGGGCTCCATTTAAAAATGGTGGGATATTAAGTTTAACTCCATCTGGCATGTCACTCTCAATATCAAAGCCTCTATCTGCCATGACATCGTCACCTGGTTCTAGCATGTTTAGAATATGACAATCTCTTGTGATTTGCTTATCGCTTGACCGCCCCGCATACAGCTCTGATATAAATGTAGGGTATCCGGCAGGGGATATTCCAATAAGCCCTTTGGCGGTATTGTGGTTTTTATATGAAGAATAGGTTGCTGACTGACTTCTAAACGATGTTGGCATTTCGATATATATTTCAGTGCAGTCGATAATGACACGGGTATTTGGATAGGCATCCTTGAAAGATTGTGGCATGGTTTGTTGAACATGTTCACGTGATGCCCATATGGGAAGGGCCCTTAGTCTATGGTAAAGAAAACCCAACCAGGTGGTTTCAATGCGTGAATACTGGGCTTGTGAAATCCCAAACCTGTTGGCAATGTCAAGTCCCAACAGCCCACATCTTAATCGAACTAGGATCATGAATAGCTCTTGTTCTGGTGGTAGTGACCTTGTTCTACCATGTTTCGCTTGTGTTTCTGATGCATGTTCAGTGTTATTTGAGCCAATGTACATCAGGAAATTACATGCTGGTTGTAGATAATCAAAGAATACTTTAAAAGTTGCATAATTTGGAAAACTTGTGTAAAATTTGAAGTTTGCATCACTTGCAATGACATGTTCAATTCGAAGTACGTGTTGTTTGTATTTGGTTGATAACTCGTCATATTTTTGTTTTAACTCAGCATGTTCACTTTTTTCTAAATCATAGTTTAACTGTAGCTCATTCATTTTCGTATTTTCATTTGTTGTTTCAAGAAGAGTACTTGGACCACTGTTTGTCTTAGGACCTGAGCATTTTCTACCTTCACTGCTGTTGTTTGTTTGTCTATATGATGACATAGGAGTAGTTGGTAATGAATTTAATACTTTCTTGCCACCAGGAAAGTGTAGTGAGCAGACTTTGTGGCTTTTTAAAGGTTGTTTTTGTATACCTAATAAATTTAGCCATGTTTCTTTAAAGCTTGACTCCCGAGGAAATTGGTGGAATGACAATTCCGGATTTTTCATGCTGTTGCTTTTACAAAGTGGTACACAACATGTTGTTCCTCCTTTCTTTTTCAACACAGTTTCATTTGCAGTCTCCATCTTTTTTTTTTGCGAAAAACACACCAAAACACGAAGCAAAAGCGGTCAAAGCCAACGAATTTCGAGCAGCGACAGCGAGCGTCAAGTAACTTAAATACACGAACAAATATTTCTCTTTGTAAATTCTTTAACAGCAGCCAATAGTACTTAAAAGTACTGTTTAACAGTTTAAATCTTTGATACTGAAAAAGCCGATACTTTGAATGGATAGTTTTCGCGCCAAACGTCCTCAACGTTTTGGTTTGTAATGGAACACTTGATCAAGCATGTGTTGTTTTAAGCCGGCTTGATGTGAAAACACTTTTGCCTCTGGAACTATTAACTAGGACTCGATCGCAGAACTGCCTATTGTAAGTGATGAACAAGTGTGTCTTACTTATTTTACACAAATTTTAGCGATGTACTTACCTTTAAAATGTGTGAAAAGTCTAAATTTGTGTTCGTTCATGTCCGATCGAAGCCATGTTCGCCTTCGCCCGGGTCGATCGTCATGTTAAATATCTCAAAATCAATGACTCTTAGAGATCCCATGTTAGACTACAGACTAAAACAAACCTCACAGAATGTCGGAAAGCTTTTAT